TGACACTAATGACTTATGCTATAGCGAGGCAGGCGTCTACCTTTAGGAGGTGGGGTGCATGTCCTCCGGACAACGGGGAGCTGATACGCTAATGTTATCATAGAGACTTGCAGGAGGGGAGAAGGAACTGTGCACAAATAAGCACTGTGCGCAAAACGAAGTCGGCGTATCCGTACTGTGCACATAACGAAGGAATACCGCCTTATTTTCTTACCATATACCTTTTATCTTTCACCTTTCAATATAACAAGCGCTTCAAACGAACCCGTGCAGGTGGTTGTCGGCAGAAACCACCAACCACGCCTGCGTTACAATATGCTAAAAAAATTACAAATATGCAAAAATATTTAGCTTTAAGAGGGGTAGACCTATCCTAAAATTAAGAAACGCTCGTCCTCGACGTGTGATATCCAAATGGGCGTTATCGCCTCCTGATACTACTATCCAAAGTTGAGACCTTGATTCCATCTCCTTTGCCCCATCTATAATCAGATGGGACTCATTTGTGGCACACCTTGTTTAATCCCCTTCCTCCTCTGTTGGCTCCCTTCTCCGGCTTCATTCATCAATTCTTTTGCAGCAAGTACTTTTTTATTTTTAAACAGGGAATGAACTATGTGTAGTTAATGAATTCATCGACATGGACACTTATCAGAACTGGGAAGGTTAATAGGATGGAGGAAGTCGTTGAGAGTGAATCCTCCTTCGGGATAGATGATCACATTGTCAACCATTGGACAATATGCCCGAAATCAGTCGATCCATTTAATGTCAGTCTAGGCATAGCCACTGAATCAATAAATGAACGAAAGTATCATAGAAGCAATTTCGCCATGAATGCAATCATACCTGGGTCCCAATGTTCGTGGTGGGATAAGGTAGGAAAGGAATGATTTAATTTATCTTTCAGATCCCGGTCTGAAGCTTCAACTTTGTGTCCCCGACAACTGCGCATCCTCCCATGCATTCTTCATTCTATAATTTTGATGAGAAAAATCTCAGGTGGCGATGACACTCCTTAATACAAGGATTAATGCATAGCTTTTTCGCTCACATCGTGCCCCATAGGGCGAAGGGATTGAAGACAGTTTTAAATTATTTTACGTATATATGTCACCCATTCACGAGGCACTTGTCCTGAAGCAAAGGATCCACCCAGACATTCCCAATTAAATTGTTGCCATGTCAACCAATTAATTACTGCTGATAAATCCATGAAAATAAATATTGAAAGTAGAGGTTAATTTTGGTACTGGATAACATAATGAATGCTTCTATACAAGGAGAACCGAGAAAAAACGGTCAGATTCTGAGCTTCGGGACTGGACTGGAGCAAAAGGAAAGAAATCCTCTTGATAGGTTAGATAGTTACCAGCAGTTGTCTTCGTCGATGACCGCTCCAGTGCATGACCTACAATCAGTCGAATTTGGAAAAAATATGTAAAAGATAAAATTGAAAGGAGCTTCTCCGACATCAACAGGCGAGCTCTTGTCCTTTTAACGGGAACGTCCAAGGGATTCGTGGAATGGGGTCTCGGGATTCACGATACAGGGCTAGGGACGATGTTTGTACGCCCGTATCCCCTTTCCCAAAGTCAGGTGGAGATGAAGCCCATCCATCCAAACCCATCCATTCAGTCTTCGAACAGTGTTTGTCATTCCCGTCAGTTTCCCGCCGCCGCCTTATCAACATCCCTATCCAAAGCCATAGCCGTTGCCACAGTACAGTATGCGTGTCTGTTATCCTCTCGTTCTCTTTAGTAATCGTGGAATCGATCGATGCAATCTTCAGCACGAAATATATTGCCAGCCTGTGATCACAAGCAATCGCCGTATCTGACAAATTTCTGTGACGTGCAGTTGAAATTGACTGCAAACATGAAACTTTAAGTGCTCTCTTTTTTCGAGGACGTTGGACACAAGGGTGCATGTCCACACGCCAAATCAGTGCAGTCATGTCAAGTGATTGAACTGGATGACTTTACTAGATTAGACGGGTTGAAGGAGGGAGAAGATGGACAAGGTTTTACCCAACACCTGTGGATTCATTTGAAGCCCCACGAAAATGACAAACAGCTTCATCTCATCCTAAGCGGCAAAGATGAAATGGTCTTGCCTTTTTTTCTTTATTTTCCAGCACATTAGGTTCTTCGTGCAGGGTTAATCTCAGAAGCAACGTCTCGAGACCTGTCTGTTCTAATTCATTAGGCATCGTCTGGTAGTGTCTTGACTCCGCATTTCCGAAAGAGAGAAGCGAAACTCAAATTTCAATCATTGCCGTCAGAGTTTATCATTGTCAACAACGATATAGCCGAGTCGGTTGTATTTTTCATCGTGTAAATGTCTCCGGTGTCGGTCTTTCGCGTACTTGTCGAAATGGAAATAGACCTTTTCCTTTTATATTTCCATTCACAATTAACAGTAATTTTCTCGACTGCATAAATGAAGTCTAATTCGACAAAGCGAGTTGAAATGGGGCAGTGCATCCTGATCTTCATCTCCATTCTAATACGAATTGAGGACGTCTATATGAACAGGTTTATCGACTCTCATCGTGGCGTTCCCTTAAACCCCCCAAAATCTAAAGATGTCATACCGATGAGACAAGATTTGGCGACAATTTTATGGGATGCACAAGGTGTGCTTTTGATCGACTTTCTTACACAGAATGAGGCTATTCATGCTGTACGACAGTAGTGTAGGCAGGAAGTCGGCAAGGGGGGGGAGTTTAGGCCAGGTAGACACACCAACCCTATCCCTAGCTCCACATCCTGGAATTTACCTTTTCGAGGAAATCATGGTCTTGCATCTTGGATCTGTGGATGGACATCACACTTTCCTTGAAGGGGCATAACTAAAATTGGAATTCCCAAGGAAGGTTGAAATGTGCCTGTCAACGTCACTGACCGGGAAGCCCAAGGGGGGGGGGGGGTTCTGACCCCCTAAATCCCCCCCCCTTTCCTACGTCACAGCTGCACGATACGTTTTCTCACTTGAAAAGTTGGTCTTGGAAGAGACGGAAACATGTGGACTCCGGTGGGGCAGGAGAGTAGGGTGGACAGTGCTCCGACATCCCACACGAAGCCTGAACATAGCATCATCCGAGTTCCATCTTTTTGCACCATCGAAGGTTTCCTAGTGCGGGGGACATTTTTGTAGGATCGATGAGGAGCTAACGGCAGTTTCTAGGCTAGGTTGCTCAGACCCACCAATGCAGCACTTTTGTCATGGCATTTTAAAGCTTGTTACACGCTGAGAAAAATACATTATATCATTGTTGCATTGATAAGTGACTCAAATGCAATTTATGAATATCAAGAGGGATATAGCATGTATATTGTCTTTTTTTTAATGAAATAAACAGTTCTGCTTGTATTGGATTGCCCCCAGTAGAAACTAGACAAGAGGTGATACTGTTACATCGGCATTGTCATGGTCCCCTGTTAGTTGTTCATTTGTTAATTGGTATTATTAGGAAATATTTATATTGGGAAATTAGAAGAATCTTCTTTTTGAAGTAAGATTGAGTTCTCAGGGAGCCACAGTCAAGTTTCAATACCTCCTGCAACCAAACTTGGGAGGAGAGTGGTGTAGAATATTTAATCTCTTCCTGTCTTGAGAATTTAGTTGCACTGCAAAACTTCCTTTAAAAATTGTGCTGTAGTTTGATGCATTCCAAATTATTCCCCATAGTTAGAAAAGAAAATGAGAATTGGTTTTTCTTTTGTCATTTGTTGACTCCCAATAAAGACAGCTGCAATAGGACCTGGAGAAACTGTCGAATGTATGGTTGGACATAAAGGTTAAGGAACATCTGACAATGTAGCAGAAGAATAAAATTATGCTGATGTACACAAAGGTGAAAAGTGTGACTTTTTTGCAAAGACACTTCAAAGCTTTTCTAGTGACAAGATGGGCTCCCAAGCAGGAACACTATCCTACACCTTTATTATAGTTTTGGTTCTTGCACAGTCCCCTCTTATTCAAATCGATAATAAAGGTGCAGGATAGTGTTCCTGCTTGGGAGCCCATCTTGTCACTAGACAAGCTTTGAAGTATCTTTGCAAAAAAGTCACACTTTTCACCTTTGTGTACATCAGCATAATTTTATTCTTCTGCTGCATTGTCAGATGTTCCTTAACCTTTATGTCCAACCATACATTTGACAGTTTCTCCAGGTCCTATTGCAGCTCCCAGTCACAGGTTATGCAGCTGTCTTTATTGGGAGTCAACATATGACAAAAGAAAAACCATTTTGTGGCCCACCCTGTACCAACAGAGGTGAAAGCAATTCCAAATTGAAGATACATGATCTTCATCTAAACAAAATTTGCAAGAAAAGAAAAAAAAGTTAGTATTTCACTTGAACTTGATAATTGACATGACAATAGTTTTACGGTCAAAAATATTTTGGGCTACATTTAATGTCACATTCTTGGCTCAATATCGTTATGGATGGTCAAAATTTTGGACTGTCTCTGCTGGACAGCACAATCTGCAGTCTAGAGCAGAGGTTCTCAGACTCCCTTTTACTCCCATGGAAAATCTGTGTGTTCGGTGGTCTGCTGACCACAGATTGAGAACCACTGGGACTCGAGAGGATGGGGGCTCGTGGTCAGGATCCAGACCACAGGTTGGGAAGCCCTGCTACAGGGGCTCTGTACTGTTACGATTTTAAATCTTCCATATAGCCTGAGCATGAAAAAGCCTAAATCTTCAATTTCAAGTTCAACAATACAACAAGTCCTATGTCTGCCCACAGCCTCTACAGCACTGCAAAGAGTGGTGAGAAATCACCTTTTCCTGGCAGGGCATACCTAACACACTTAATTTTAGTACTTTACATATGATAAGTATACTTCCTCTTGAAAAGAAGCCTTCTAGCAAAATGCCATTGAATAACTGTATGTGATATATTTATCAATTGTCTAGAATATCTGGTGACTCAAATGATAGGAGTCCAACATCGCCATTCATAGACATATAAAAAAAACAGTTTTATGGAGGAATGAAAGTGATCCACAGAAAAGGATGAATTTGAAGGGGGAAGATGAAGGTGAAATGATCTCATGGTGGAATGTGGAGGAGGTATGATACTAGAAAATCTTGACTTAAGCCATTCTTTTTTTCAATGGGAATCTCTGCAATAGCTGAGGCAAAGGCAAATTCCTATCACAAGAGAACTCTCTGGTCAGGGTATAAGGCAAGAAGGGGGATGAGGAGAGAAAAAGTAAGAGTGGAATAGGAATCTTTGGTCCCAGGTATCAGATCAGAGGAGGATACAGCAAGGCTGTCCAATGGACAAGGAGGCCAGTCCAGCCTCTTCCCTCGAGTATCAAGTAATGCCTTGATGCCTCATCACAGCCAGGCATGCACCTGCTCTACCAGTAACAAGAGAACCCACCTGCAGCAAAACAAATTTTTTTTTTCATAAACACAGAGGCTCCAAAAAAAAAAGAGGAGGGAAAAAGATGCAGAAATAGAAACCACTAACCTTGGTCCATTCATTAGTGAGTGGATCATAGCACTCTACAATATTGAGATACTGCTGGCCATCATATCCACCAACAGCAAACAACTTGTCACCCAAAACAGCCACACCAACTGCATCTCTCCCAACACTCATGGATGCCACCTGTGTCCATGTGTCTGTTTTTGGGTCATACCTACAGGAAGGGGAAAAGGACAAGAGAATTCCAGGGTATGGTTCCATTAACTCTTTTCTAGTTGAAACTTGCAGGCAACTTTTGACAGGTGCACATATGCATGGGAACATTGCTGATATTCTTCTTTTAGATGCATTCCTCTGAAATAGTTTCACCAAGTTGATAGAACAGAGAATGTATCCACAGAGTTTGATCAATTTGTTCAAAAGACAAACTGTAAAACATCACTAACCTTTATATGTGACAACAATGACTCACATTTCTCTGTGATTCAACTATTTATCTGTTTTAGTTTCAACTATGTGTTTATTAAGCACAGAATATTTCACTACATTTTCCATCCACGTGCATGTCAAAATTAAAGTCCAAGCAATGTCTCACCTCAGAGATTTCAGCCATTATGTCATTCAATATAAATGTCAGACATCTATGTAAAAATAGAAAAAGGGAACTTAAACTCAAGGTGAAAGACTGGGGGAAAAAGATATTACCTTTCAACACAGTCGAATCGAGAAGCACAGGGATTGGAAGCAGGGGCATCATGTCCACCAATGGCATAGAGGAATCCATTGACAGAGCCAACACCAACTCCACCTCTCCTCTTCAACATTGGAGCACACATGGTCCATTTGTTCCTGTGAGGGTCATACACCTCTACTGTCCTGAGGCATGAACTTCCATCCCGACCCCCAACTGCATACAACCTAGCAGAGTTTGATAGGAGAAAAGTTATAGAAATTCCTACAAGGCAATAGTTCAACCAAAAAAAGATGACAAAGTCAGGGAGAGGATAGACTCACTTTCCATTGAGGATGGCAACACCAACGGTGGACCTCTGGGTAGACATGGGAGCGACATAGGTCCATTGTCTTGTTTCAGGATCCCATCGCTCCACAGTGCTCAGGTAACTCCATCCATCGTGACCTCCAACAGCATAGAGAGGACCTTCTAAGACAGCCACTCCAAGTCCATGTCTATGAGTGGACATAGGCTGGACAGGAGTCCACACCTGAGACCCTGGATCATAGCATTCCACCGTATTCAACGTTTTCAGTCCATCACGGCCTCCAACCACAAATAACTTGTCTTCAACAACAGCCACTCCAAATTGGAGTCGTCGTCCAGCCATCATGCCCACAATAGACCATGTGTTCAGCCGGTAGTCATACTGTTCTATGTTGAAAGCCCCTGTCAGATAATAAAAAAAATATTTAATTATGTTTACATATACTTTACATATATGTATTTATGTCCAGTTAAGAAAATATAAAGTAACAGTTGATGTGCCCACCTTTGTTGGCATCCATGCCTCCAACTGCGTAGAGGGAGCCGACAGTGGACTTCCTCGGCCTAGTTCTACTGTTCTGGAGGGAAGAACGTCTTTCTGGAAGGACCTGATACTTCAACGCCTCTACAATCAACTCTTGACACTCCCTATCCTCTCTCAAATGACTGTTGCTCTCAATCCGATCCACTATGAACTGCACATTCAACACAGAAGGTGAAAATATTATGATTTCTATATTATAATTTTTATTTTAAAGATCTGACTGATACTCAATTGAGGGAAACTCAGATACCAATTAAGTATTGTTCCAATTATGGCTACGGTATTCAATATTGCAAGAGATAAGATTGCAGCTCTAAACTGTAATAAATTAACATTTTTTAAATAGTTTCTTTTATTGTCAAAGATGAACATTTGATACACTCCCTCGCATCTCTTTCAGAAGCCTTCTATGCACTTTAGGTAAGAGTTTTCATAGATACAAGATGCGAAAGCTTAACTGACAAGGTTTTTATTTTGAGACATAAAAAAAAAATAATATCGACGTCTTGATATGTTCCTTCTTACCTCGGGAGCAACAAGAGGAAGACGAACGAACCGAAGGAGCTTGCCGATGTCTTGCTTTCGATTGGGTAAGTCATGTTGGAGCCACGACATCAAAGCCTGGCAAAGAGGGAATAAAAGACTAATCGTGAAATGAGGCAAATTTTCGGCATGAGGATAACCCCTCAGTTTTGCTATATTCGTACCTGGAAAACAACTTCTTCAGAAGGCACATTGAGATCATCGGAGGCAAGGAGACGAGACAGGTCGTCTGCAGGGAGCATCATGAACTCCTGGTTCTCTATCACTTCCATAAAATGATTCTGCCAAAAAAAAAGTAGGAAAGAGGGTTGTAGAAATGGACAACTCCAGGAAAGGAGATGAAAGTAGGCATACCATAACAAAGTAGTGAGCGACTCTTAAGAGATCGGGACAACCCTGTGTCTCGGCGAATCCAAGGATCCCTAGGCAATTGGAAGGATGAAGTTGCCTCATAAGGAAACCACATGCCGCCTCGACCACTTCCGTCAATTGGAGGACTCGGGCTGCAACCAGCAAATTCTCCACCATCTCCTCCCATAGCTCCAATGACCCTGAGGAAATGGATCAAGGCATAAAACTCCAGAAACGGGGGAAGGGAGGGGAGGGGGGGATTGGGGAACGGGAACGGCCCATAATTTTTTCATGCTTCATGTCCTCCTTATACGAATGGAGACCCCCATTAGCAGAAGAAATGGTCTCAAGGGTAACAAGCTCCAAGAACCTCATGTGAATGGATAGGCCAACACGTTCCCATATCTTCCAATCAAGTGACAACCTCCCTCTCCCCCTTGTCTTTGTGATTTGGGTCATTTCACACGAACTTAACGAATATTATATACGCTATATATATATATATATCGCCTTATTAGGTCAACATTGAAAATTGTAAATACGAAACTTTTGAAAAAAAAAAAATTTCTTAAAAATGAAAACAAATTATACATCGTTGGGAAGATCTTGATTTCAACTTTCAAATGATACTGCTCATGATACCATATGCCCTCTGCCCCTTTGAAAAACATTCGACCAAAGATGACCGAAAATTAAAATTCCAATTTTGAGGTGAATTTACTCTATAAAGCGGACAAAAAGTGAAATAAGTCACTTGATTAATCGATGCACATGAAGGAAGAATGCAACTTACTCAGTGAAAGATTTGTCTTTTCCCTCACCAAAGAAGGTAGTCAGCATTTTTAATTTCAACTATGAAGCTGAAATCTCATTCAAACTCTGAGCGTGTATGAAGTGACTTATTACCTATTGAAGATGTCTCGTTTAAGCCCTCGCACGCCTCTGTGCAGTGAACAGTTCATGGAAAAATTCCATGGACGGCAAAATTGCTATTTCGTTTCCCCCAAAGTTCGGGGGGCGATACCTCGCTAACCACTAATCCGATGGGGCCGATTCCTTTTTTTTTTTTAATAGGGTGATTAAATTGACTGCAATCGCTGAGAATTTAGATCGCAAAATCGGAGATTGTCGAGCACACTATCTGGTTGAGTTCGTATGGAATGACCCATATTATTTCCGCTGTAGCTATAAATGAACACAATATCCGAGAAGCACACTCAAAGGAGATGAAGGTGGGAGGAAATTTAAAGAATAATACCATTAAACTTCCATTTATGATTTCTCAAAAATGACACTGATATATGGGGTGGTTCGAGAAGGGGAAGAAGGGAGGGATGGGGTCATAATACATGAGACCATGAAGGGCGGCGCCTTCGAGTCGGAGAGCTAGTCTTCTCCATCGGCATCGACCGAGAGGCAGATCCGGAGGCAAACGAAAACTTGCTCTCATTTGTATTCCATGACCGCGCTCCGATTAACGACCCAGGCTTGTTTTAAGAAATCACTGCGGCTCACACATGCAAAAACAGGCTGCACAAGGCAAAGAAAAAGAGAAAGTGGAGACTGAACTTCAGAACAAAAGAAGAAAGGAGGCTATACGCTGGAAAAACAAGAGGAAAATTTCGACAAGAAAACGCGGTTATCCAAACGGAAACCGGAAGAGGGAGAGTTACGCGGATTCCTATCACCATTTCCACTTTCCCCATAAATGGCAACCATGAATGCCACCGTTTGAAATGAGTTTTAGCTAAGCGAAGATGAAGAGAGTCCAAAAGGGTTATAAAGAGGGACTCCATGAAGACAGGATGCCACGCCAGGCTGCATCATGTAACGTCCTCCACACGCAAATAAACTCTCCAGTCTTTCTCCTTTTTCTTGGAGTTTCCGGTCCTTTTCTTCAAACAATACCCTACAGAAAAAGAGGAGACTACACTCTCCACTTTGTCATAGCACCTCCTCCTTGGCACGGGAGAATCCCTGACTTCTTTTAACACAGTGCACGGTCTACTGCAACAGAGTGAAGGAAAAATTCTTCATTTCCGCGCCTACTTCGTGTGTGGGAAGACGATGACACCAACGAGCATCATTTCGGTTCTTTGCCTATCGTTCCTCTTCGCCGACGTCATCATGGTGAGGATGAACAAGTGATCCCTGTAATCGAAACATACCGAAAGGGAAGGAGATTCAATACTGAAAATAACTAAGATATCTCACTTTGACATAGGGGGAGGAAGAGGGGACGTTCGGAAGGGAAGGAGAACCCAGATTCTTTTTCTCTCGATTTGGGTCGAGGTGCCGATGCCCTGAAATGTCCAGACCTGTGTGTGGCACCGATGGACACACCTACCGCAACAAGTGCTACCTGGAATGCGCTCGGGTCTCTGGATTCCGAGTCGGAGTCCCCCCCAAGAGAGACGGAATCGGTCCTGTTCTCTTCCCTCCCTACGACCCCGACCGTCTTGGGAACCATCTCTCCTGTAAGTCCCAATCCCTAAATCTATCTTCAAGGGAATCTTCCCATCGTGTGCTTTCCCAAAATGATATGCAGACTCATGACTTGCAAACGACGTCGACAATGAGATGACTCACTCTCATTCTTCCCTGAAAATGAGGGTCCCCCCCTCTCTCTTAATAACATTATCAGGGCTACCGTAGATGGACTCGAGACAGCCCCCCTCCCCCTCTTTCTCTTTGGCACGCGATGGAATTTAGTCGCTTCTAATCCCTTTTCATGTAATCCCTCCTCAGACACGAGAGAATGCAAAGGTTTTCCGGATGGAAGGAACTACGCAGGGACCAGGAGTGTCACATCCGACGGCCGAGTGTGTCAACGATGGAGCACTCATATTGACACCTACCTCCTCGCAACGGGTGTTAACTATAACCCCATACAGGTATTGCCATCCAATTTTCTCTTTCAAACACCCTACATTTTATTCCTCGAAAAGGGGATGATATGTTCGCAAGAGGAGAGGGAGAATCCACGCAGCTTTAGCTATTGGGACACGAGACAGGCATTTAACAGAGACAGAGCATCGCATTCTTCAAGGCCTGAAAGGGATAGGAGTAAGATTTTGTTAGTGTCAATGGAAAAACATATTGCAACGAGGAATGAAGCAAAGACGAGCACCTCTCATATGTTCTTGCACTTGTTTTTCTATATATTTTTTCTTCATCCTGGCCCGCAATACAAATACCCAAGCAGTCGCACTCGAATCCTGAACTAGAGTTCCGGAATGAGAGTTAAAAAATAAGAGTTGGCTTGCATTTCTCTCTTGAAGCTCCGCTTTTTTGTGAAAGAGAAAGATATGACGCAGTAAATGACATACAGCGAAACACGCTAGAGTCGGGGAGTGGGGGGAGGAAGAAAGTAATTAGAAGCAATCACGTCTACTTCGAATAGCAATTTTTCTGGGTTGCTCTCAATAGAAGCACATGGACAGGTAATATTTCAACTGAATGAGTGATAAGATGAAAAAACTCGGACCGTTCAAGTTGAATAATTCCCGTGCGTTTGAATAAATCGTCCAATTCAACTAGGGATTTACCCATTTACGGCATTCTTGTCTAAATTTTAGTTTCTAGGCATGCCACGTTATATGAAATAGTTTTTTGTTACTCTTACATATCTGCAATTGTCGTCTTGCTTCAAACACTCTCTAACCAACCCTATTAAGGCATAGTTCATACTCCTGCTGGACAGCATGCTGGAAGCTGGGTGCACTACACAGTACTATATCTGCTGTACCGCACAGCTATCTAAAAAAAAATGGAATGGTTTCTATTCAATTCAGCATGCTGAACAGCACAGCTTTTTGCTAGCCATCGCATTGCATACAGCTACTGCGCAGCAATTTTTTGCTGCATTGGAGGATGACAGTCCAGCAGCTGCACATGCTGGGTAGGATTTTGCAGTAAAGTACTGTATCTACGGTATCCAGCACGTTGCGCAGCAAGAGCATGAAGTCGGCCGAAGAATTCATGAAAGCTTAAATTGTTCCGGAGTTAATTCCTGGTTTTTAAAGAAGCTTGCTTCCGTCTCTAGATGTCCGTCATTCAGCCGCTGCCATTTGTTAAAGACTGTAATTGGAGAAAATATATGTTCAATAAGTGATATATCTCTGAATCGCATTTCTGTAAATACAATAAATTTCTGCAATCTGTAGATACCTCAAAAAGTTATTTTCTTATTCGAAGATTCGGCGGCTCCTTAGTTATACAGCTTTCTCACAAAATTAAATTCAACTTTCCGAATTTCAGCAAAAGATCATGTTTCAAGTCTTTTATCACATCCTTTGATAAGCTCTGCCATATGCTTTGAATGGTGATATATTTCTATGAAGAGTAATTTACAGAGCCAAAGCAAAGTTGTCCTAAGTCACCGTCTTCAACCACCCTTTTTCGACAACCTTGAGTTAGAATACCTCTTCTAATTTTAACTCTCCGATGTCAAATGTATTTGAAAATGAGAGTATTATTCTGCTTGAATAATTTCTTACTCGGACTAAGTAGATACGAACAGGTCTTAACACGGTTATTCTTTATAAATTCTCCGAGTCACTTGAATGTCATGTGCAATTAATATGCAATATTGTGCAATATTGGATATGCAATTAATTGCATTTGCTCCAGATCAGAACAAAATTGCATATCCAGAACATGTCCCAATACTTTTTTTTTTCAACGGCAGGATTTACAATGAACCCTCCTTTAATACTTCCTGGAAACCCATGAAAATTATTTTTTCCATTTGTTTCGAGACCTGGTGATTCGTGAAAGCGCTTCAACGTCTGCAGAGCCGCCTGCAGAGAATCTTTTTCTCCATTTAGAAACAAGAGCCATCAGGGCATTATACGGTAAAAACCATAATCGAGATTTTGGAGGATAGGGTAGGATACAGAACATCTCATTCAGTATCCTTCCTATTACAGCTAAGCTGAACCTGAGACTTCACGGCAGTTCCCCATATTTCGGTCTATCTTGTGGAGACCCGGTTTGAATACTTGCTCTTCTCCTTCATAAGGACGACTTGTTTGTTCGTCTAAATGCATTGTTTTAGGTAGATCCTCTTGAAATATTCCTGATCCTTTCAGGCCTTGAAGATAATTTCATTCCTCTCCGCATCACCCAGGAATCGAATGGGCTAGACGTATGTTACCCAGAAGTCTTTTTTTTCTGTAAGCCAACCTTTGTGCTGCCA